CTTTGTAATTGTTTTTTGTCTTTGATTTCTTCAGGAAATTCTTGAAGCTTTTCTCCAATATGAGGTTGCAATTGCAATTCTCCTTCTTTTATAAATAATCCTAAGAATTCTATTTCTGTTTTAGCTATCTCAGCTTTCTTTTGAGAAAGTGTAATACCATGTTTATTTATAATATAACAAAATTTCTCAAAATGTTCAATAAGTTCATCAATGTTATTTGAATGAATAAGTAAATAATCTACATATGCAATACAAAAATGAGTAATTGGTTTGATTGCCTCATCCATTCTTCTTTGGAATATCTGTGGTGCATTTTTCAACCCAAATGGCATTACATTCCATTCGTATTGTCCAAAGGATTGGAGGTACTAAATGTAGTTAATGGTTTGCTTTCTTCTGTAAGTATGATTTGCTAAAACCCTGACTTACAATCAAATTTTGATAATATCTTTTTATTCTGTACTTGCTTAATAACGGTGTCCTTATTTGGCAAGTAATATCCATCAAATTTGGTAACTTCATTTAACTTTTTATAATTTATCACCATCCTAGCCTTTCCTCTTTTTATCTCACTATATTTTCTAACCATAAAGCTGGACTGCTATGTGGGCTTTTGCTATGCCTAATCAATTTGGCATCTAGCAGTTCTTTTATCTGGTCTTTAAATTCCTTTTGGTCATCAACACTATATTTCATGGGTTGGACTCTTACTATAGTGTTTGAATTGGTTAATTCTATTTTTGCCTTTACTCTGTCTGTATTCCATTTTTCTAAGGAATTTTCAGAATATATTTCAGAAATTTCTTTTTTCAATTTTTCTAACCAAATAACGAATGGATGTTAGGGCAAAATAACTTCACCAATCGATCACCTTCACATCTCAAATTAAAACTCAACTCTAATGTAGTGCTCGATCGAATTCTCCAATGTACTGAATTTTACTACTTGGTCTAAATTCTAAACTCATATATCTATTTGTAAAGAATTCACAAAAATCATCAAATTATTGATCAGATAATTTGATGTAAAGGATCCCAATTGGTTACATTAGTCCCCCTAACAATGAATTTAGCTACTCATAATGTAAGAAGAGAAATAGGAAATTGTCTTAGAATACATCACCGGATTTGTAATAAAGATATAGAAGAAAAAGTAAAATTCTTGCACCAAGATTTCCTTCCCCTTCCAATGAATGCTTCTAATCTTCAATTACTTGGTGTTAATCTTCTTAAATTTTTCTTTTGAATCTCCCTTTTTGTTATCTTGTCTTCAATGTGTCAAGAACCCCTCAAAAGTATGAGAAAGATTGTATTTATAGGTGCTCCCTATGTTTTGTATAGAAGTATGGTTTTTATAGACTTTAAAACGGCCAAAAAAATGCGTCCTCGACGACCCAAATGCAGCGTCTAGGCGCCGCGTCAGTTTAATCACAACGCCTATGCGCTGCCTCTCG